CCGCTCGGTGGCTCTCTGCGCTTTTGCGCGCCTTCCGCCGCCCGGATGTTCTGGCTCTGGGCTGCCGGGGCACTCGGGGCCGAGCCTCCCTCTGCCCGGTAGGGCGGCGGACCTGCTGCAAAAGGCAAGCGCTGCAGCCAGGACAGGGGCGAGAGCACGGCCATGTGCACCTCAGTTGCTTTTCCCATCCATCCTGTGGTGTTGGGTCCTCGTTTTGGAGAAACGGTCCCCGCGTTCTCCTCCTCTCCTCGTGCCCCCCCCTCCTACCGTCCGCATGCGTCCCGCACACCCGGTACAGCGTTTCGTGGCCCTCCTTCCCTCTTCCCTGCGTTTCACCCACACTGTACAGCGTTTCGTGGCCCAAGGTCCCAGTGCTACCGTCCGCATGCGTCCCGCACACCCAGTACAGCGTTCCGTGGCCCCATTGGGAGCTCCACCGAAGGTCCCAGTGCTTTTACTGTTTTTGTTATTTTTCTTTTTTTTTTTTTTTTTTTTTTTTTTGTTATATTTTTTTCTTTTTTTTTTTTTTGTTTATTTCTTTATTTTTATTCTTTTATTTTGTTTGTTTTTTTTTTTTTTTTTTTTTTTTTCTTTTTTTTTTTTATTTTATTTTTTTTTTTTTTTTTTTTTTGTGCTTTACCGTCCGCATGCGTCCGCACACCCAGCACAGGTTTCGTGGCCCTTTAGGGAGCCCACCGAATGGTCCCCAGCGTCGGCGTCCGCATGGTCCCGCACACCCAGTAACACGTTTCGTGGCCTCCTCGCTCCTCCTCCCTGCTTTCCCAACACACAGATACAGCGTTTGTGGCCCATATGGAGCGGTCCAGTGCTACGGTCCGCATGCGCCCGCACACCAAGTACAGGCGCTTCGTTGCCCCATAAGGGTGCCCATCGAAAGGTCCCAGCGCTACGTCCGCATTGCGTTTCCCGCACACCCAGCTACTGCGCTTCGTGGCCCCATAGGGAGCCCCATCGAAGGTCCCAGCGCTACCGTCCGCATGCGTCCCGCACACCCAGTACAGCGCTTCGTGGCCCTCCTCGCCCTCCTCCCTGCTTTCCAACCACCCAGTACAGCGTTTCGTGGCCCCATATGGAGCCAGTCCCAGTGCTACCGTCCGCATGCGTCCCGCACACCCAGTACAGCGCTTCGTGGCCCCATAGGGAGCCCCATCGAAGGTCCCAGCGCTACCGTCCGCATGCGTCCCGCACACCCAGTACAGCGCTTCGTGGCCCTCCTCCCCTTCCTCCCTGCGTTTCACCCACCCAGTACAGCGCTTCGTGGCCCCATAGGGAGCTCCACCGAAGGCCCCAGTGCCCCCGTCCGCATGCATCCCGGATGCCCAATTTGGCATTTTCATGCACCCAGTGCCGCGTTTCGTGGCCCCATAGGGGGCTCCACCCAAGGCCCCAGTGCCACCGTCCGTATGCGTCCGGGAAATGTAATTTGGCATTTTCACCCGCGCAGTGCAGCGTTTCGTGGCCACATAGGGGGCTCCACCGAAGCCCCAGTGGGACCGTCAGCATGCGCTCCGGTAACCCAATTTGGCATTTTCACTCACTCAGTAAAGCGCTTCGTTGCCCCACAGGGAGCTCCACCGAAGCCCTCAGTGGGACCGTCCGCATGCGTCCCGGCAACCCAATTCGGCACACCACCCACACAGTACAGCGTTCCCCCCCGCCCAGTGCAGCGCTTCGTGGCCCCATAGGGAGCTTCACCGAAACAGATATTTACAATTACGGTACCCACAACTGCATACGGTTTGGACCTTCGCCAGGATAATTTACCAGGGATCGCTGGACGTCTGGGCCGAGCACGTACTGATTGACGCTTCGCGTATCCCCACCAACCAGGTTCGCCCCCTGTCAGTCTCCCCCCATGCTTGTTCTTGTCTCTTTTCGCCTTCCTCTTGCCGTGCGCTAGTTTAGGCCGTCGCCTCTGCGCTTCGCCCCTTGACGAGCAAAACGGCGGACAGTCCTTATCGTTCGAGGGAGGAGGAGGAAGAGGAGGAAGAGGAGGGTGGATTATGGAGGAGGGAGAAGGTTAATTTGCGGATGCGGAGGAGCAGGAGAAGGAGGAAAATAATGAGACGGAAGAGGAAGACGAGCATGAGGGCGAGCAGAAGGATTAGAGGCGAGGGAGGAGGAGGAGTAGTTCAGCGGATGAGGAGAAGGAGGAGGAGGAGGAGACGGAGGAGGAGGGGGAGGAGGAGGGTAAGGAGGAGGAGGAACAAAAAGGGCGAACAGAAGAGCCAGAAGCCTGAGGAATGCTTCTCGCGGTCACCCCGGATGATTTTTGGAAGCTTTTTAGCAGCCTCTTGGATTGTCTGGGGGGGCATCTTGGCGAGCCCAGGGCGTTCTTTGAGTCTCTTGAGTGCCTCGGGGATCCTCCTGAGGCCTCTCGGGGTCTCTTGGGGGCCTCTTGGACGCCCTTTTGGCGCCTCTTGGGGCCGTCTGGGCGCCTCTTCGGGGCCTTATTGGGGCGCTCTTGGGAGCTGTAGGGGCTCTCTTGGAGCCAACTTGGACGACATCGATCCAATACAGGGCAGCTTCAATTAGGGTTTCTCCTCGGGAGCCCCAGAAATCGCCTCTTGGGGCGTCCTTGGAGCGCTCTTCGGCCCTCTTGGGCCGTCTTGGAGGCCTATTGGGCCCCTCTGGGGGCCCTCCTGGGCCACCTTGGAGCCATCCTGAGGCCTCGTATGGCCGTCAGAAGCGAACAGGCGAGAAAGCAAATACTCTTGGGCGCCTCCCGGGGAGGCTCAGTGGCCACCTGGAGCCGTCTTGGAGCATCTTGGGAGCAATCTTGAGGCATCTTGGGAGCCATCTTGAGGCGTCTCGGGTTATCTTCCGCCATTTTGGAGGTCATCTTGGGCTCTCTGATGCGCTCTTGGAGCCGTCTTGGGCCATTGGGCGTTCCAACGCTTCGAAGAACCCCCCCCGTCCAAGTCCAGAGGAGGGGGTAAGGGGGAGGGGTTAACCCGCCCCCGAAGGGAAAGAATGGAGATGGAAGAGAAAACTCTCCAGACCACCTACGCCCAGAGGGCTGGTGGGATTAGCCAGCGTTGAGGCGAGGTCACGATGCTTGAATAGTTCAATGGGAGAGTTCAATTGTGAGGAACGTCGCATGCGAAACGGTTGCCAGACCTGGCAGTTTCCGGTGTCGAGGGGAGCGTGGACCGCTCGGACAGAGGCAGGCGCACGTCGCCCGCCCATCAGCAGCAGGCAGTGCCCACTTCGGACAGCACCTGCTTCGCCCCCATCGGTGCTGTGTCCCCCGCCTCTGGCGCGCGCGCGCCCCACCTCGCGCAGGGAGGAAGCGGGAGGAGGTCACAGCCAGGGTGCCGAGGAGCAGTGGTCTCCAAGCGGCCCCCAGCAGGCCACCCAGGCGGCCCCCAAGGGAGCTCCAGAGGCTCCCAAGCAAGCCCCTCCAGAGGCCTCTTCGTCCCCTGCGCCTGCGTGAACATGCAATGCTAAGCTTCGTATTTCTTCCCGGCTTTTCAATGTGCGGCTGAGGTGACCAGTGGTTCGCCCCATGCTCATGGGTCCCAATTCCTGACTTCTTGCCTGCCGTGAATCATCGTTTCTCCTGAAGTTTCCCCCCTTTCCGTGAAATCTGCTCAAGGCCGAAGCTCGCCGCGGCCAGAAAAGCTTCTTTGTCCGTTATTCAGCGTTCCCTACCCAAACCCTCGACGCCGCGATTTTCGCACAGCGTGGACCCCCAGAGTTTTAGACCATTATCCCGGGACAGCTTTCCATCTCGTTTTTTGTGTGTCGGTCCCGGGGCCCGGCGAGGGCCCCAGGAGATTGGAAACAGCGAAAATATTCCGCAGTTGTTTTTAATACGCGGGAGGTTTGGTATGGCAGCACGCTGGCTGCAACATGGGCGTGCGCGCTGCCCGCCCTCAGGCGGGCCGCGAGTTGGCCAAGGCGAAGAGGGCGGACGGCTCCCCACCGGTCTCCATCCGGCTGGACCCCCCTCCGCCGCCTTGCTTTGTTGCAGGGGTGGCCCGCTGCTCCCTGCCAGTCAGGGCGAGAGCTGGATCCAGATCTCCGACGACAAGTGTTTTTATCCTTGCGCTTCTCCTCGATTTCGTAGTGGGTGTACGCAATGCGGCGCACACATCAGAAGCCCTGTGGTGCACACAGGCGCCGTGATGTACACAATCGCTGTCTATAATGTGCCCACGCATATTGTCCTACTTTTTCTTGCTCGTCCCTCTTCATTTTCGTTCTCCTCGTCCTCGTCCTCCCTGCGCATACAGGACGCGGGCATCGTGGTGTACAAAAGCTTTGTGGTGCACGGAAGCCTTGTGGTGCACACAGGCGTTATGTTTCACATTCTCTGCGGGCTCAACATGGCCAAGCGTTCCTCGGGCCAGAAAAAAATACTCCGACGGTAGGACCCCGCATGAGAATCGGTTTAGCTTACCCTTTGCCCTTTCCACTTCCTCCTGGGGCTCCCGCCTGAGACTTCCTCACAATTCACTCACAGACGATGCTCCCGCTCGAGACTTCCTCCATATTTGACCCGCTCGGATTCAAACATGCAGTGCGGGCCCCATAGGGAGGGGGCTCCCGCCTGAGACATCCTCACAATTCACTCACAGACGAGGCTCCCGCTCGAGACTTCCTCCATATTCAAGTCTCAAGAGCCCAAAGGTGACGACAGTTGCACGTTGCGGATGACCCGCTCGGATTCGAACATGAAGCGCGGGCCCCATAGGGAGGGGGCTCCCGCCTGAGACTTCCTCACAATTCACTCACAGACGAGGCTCCCGTTCGATACTTCCTCCATATTCAGGCCTCAAGACCCAGAGGTCCTAAGTACCCCAAAAAGTACCGGACGAATCGAACCACAGGCAAAACATAGTTCATCCGCAAGAAACATAGGACAGGAACAAAAACGTAGTCTATCGACAAAAACCTAGTTCATCGAAAACACCATTTTGTATATATATATATGTGTATGTGGATGTATGCATATATGTAAGCATGCTTATAACTGCAAGTAGTGTACGTGTGTATGTGATGATGTATGGTTAAGACGTGGGCCATCCTCTCCCCCTCGTGCCTCTCATCCTCGTGCCATCCTCTCCACCTCGTGCCGCTCCTCAGGCGGGGGGGGGTCCCGCTGGCCGCGGGATCGGGCGACGAGATCTATGTATATCCACTGCTCTCTGGTCGGGCACTCCCTCCCGACCCGCCCAGGAAGGCCGCGCATGCATCGCTGCTGCAGCAGCGATGCATGCGCCGCGCCCTCCTGGGCCCATCGTGGACCTGACCAGGGAGAGGTGGATATATTATAGATTTCGTCGCCCTGGGGAGCGGCCCGCATGGCCGACGAGGTCGAGTGGGAGAATGGCGCAGCCGCCGTCGCCAAGGCGGGGTGGAGGAGGAGGAGGAGGTGGATGAAGAGAAGGAGAAGGAGGAGGAGGAGGGGGAGGAAGAGGAGGAGGGGGAGGGGGCAGAGGAGGAGGACGGAGGAGGAGGAGGACGAGGAGGACGGAGGAGGAGGACGAGGAGGACGAGGAGGAGGAGGGCAAGGAGGGCAGAGAAGAGGAACGCACGCCCAAGCCAACGCCAGGCCTTGCTCCCCCACTTCAGCAGCGACGGCGGCTTCTTCCCATACCCCAAGTCCATGAGCTGCAGCGGAGTTAACAGTACTATCCTGGCCGAGGACAGCAGGGGATCCCAGGGAATAGGTGTTTTTTTTGTGCGTGTTTCGTCGTGTTGTGTTTGGTCCCAAGGGGCCCTGGGGCCAGAGAAATCCCCTTGGGCCCTTGGGTAATGAAGGCTGGTGAGGTTAAGGGATATGATGGGGAAAGGTGTGTGCAGGGAGGAGGTGGCGAAGGGGGAGGGGGAGAAGAAAGATGAGGAGGGAGAGGAGGAGGCGGAGGAATACGCTGTTGAGAAGGAATGTGTTGCGTGACAGGGGCGCGACATGGGTGAGGGGAGTACTCGGACATGTTGAACGATCTTATCGGCGTCGTCTTGCACAGACGCCTGACCCAGAAGATGTGCTTCTCGGCTCTCAAACTCGTCCATGACTTGAAAGGTTATCAATTCTCTGACAAGGTGCGACGGGGGGGATTGCAATCCGCATCGCCCTCCATCCCCTCCCCCTCCCCCTCCATCCCCCCCCCCCCTCCCCCACCATTCTCCAAGCATGGGCCCTCCATCCCCTCCCCCTTCCGTCATGCCCTCCGAACGGCGGTGGGAGGTGCGAGACGGCTGGCAAAAAGTGTATTCCATGAGGCTGAGGACTGCGCTGAAGCACATTCGTGAAACAGGACTGCGGCGAGCGCCGTGCCCAGGGGGATGGGAGGGAGATCGGCGCAGGGCGTGGAGGAGTAGAGGGAAGAGGGATCTAATGAGTGGCGGGAGGATGGCGAGACGATGGGCAGAGAGTGGGAGGGTCGTGGGATGGGTACGGGAGGGGAGGGAGAGAGAGAGAGAGAGAGAGAGAGAGAGAGAGCGTGAGAGAGAGGGACAGATCGAGAGAGAGAGAGAGAGCGATAGATAGAGAGATAGCGAACACGAGAGACAGATCGAAAGAGGAGGAAGAGTGAGAGCGAGAGCGAGAGAGGGAGAGAGAAAGTAAAACGCTTGAAACCGATCGAGAGGGATAGAGAGAGAGATCGATGGGGAGAGGGATAACGAAAACGGAAGAGCGCGAGGGAAACTGGGGGAGATACAGAGAGAGAGAGAGCAAAGAGAGAGAGAGGGAGATATAGAGATAGAGAGAGCGAGAGAGAGGCAGATAGAGAGACAAGGATGAGGGAGGGGGACACGAGGGAGAGTGATGGATGAGGGAGCGAGAGAGAGAAATAGATAGAGAGATTCGAGAGATCGATAGATCGGTAGATAAAGAGAGAGAGAGAGAGAGAGAGAGAGAGAGAGAGAGAGAGAGAGAGAGAGAGAGAGACTGAAAGAGGGAGAGACAGATAGAGAACGATAGAGCAAGGGGAGAGAGAGCGAGGGGCACCCCTCACAGAAGGACGACGCCGACCGAACACTGCCTGGCTGGCACCGTTCAAAAAGAACCTGCGGAAAGCTGCCCGAGAACGGAAAGATGGTGCTGGCGATGGCGGAGTGGAAGAGAGCGAGGAGGAGGCGCAATATGATGAGGAGAACGGTGAAGAGGACCAGGAAGAATGAGAGGAGGAGTAAGAGGGAGTGGCAGATGAAGAAGAGGAGGCGGAGGAGGAGGAGGAGGAGGAGGAGGAGGAGGACATCGACGACTGCGCGGAGGAGCCCGAGAAAGCAACAAAGAAACGCCCGTCTGCGTGCATAGGAGCGCCAGTGATGAAACGACCAGCCCTGATGAGACCAGCCGCGTACGACCAGCCAGCCCTGAAGAAACCAGCCGCAGCCGACGCCGAACCAGCGTGCCCATCACCGCTAGCGACTCCTCCACGCTCCACAGCCGTGGCCAAAGCTAGCCCACTCGAGTTCAGCGTGATCCCAGATTCGCCGTATGAGCTGGCGGTGCAACGGCTGCAGGGCGGGTCACAGCTGGCACGCGGCGCCAAAGTGAAAGCACCGCCTACTACGAAGCCCCCCCCCTCCAGCAACGCCACCTACTACGAAGATGCCTCCGCCTCCAGCAATCCCACCTACTACGAAGTCGAGGCATCCAGCCATCCCACCTACTACGAAGTCGGAGCCTCCAGCAAGCTCGGGTGCACATGGGCCGCCGACTGCAACGAAGGCTTCGCCGCCGATGCCGTCCAGCGCCAGTTCGGAGTGGCAGGTCAAGTTTGACAACCAAAAGAAGGAGGCCAGCTTGCGTCTGAAGGTGGCGAAAAAGAGGTGGGGGCCGCCCGAGTACAGCCATGAGTTCTTCGAACATGAGGGTAAAGTGAAGTGCAAGTTCGACTCAGGCACGTACGAGATCCCAGAGTTGACCCCCGCCGACTTGCCCGTGATCGTTCGCGCCAGGGAGGAAGCACTTGCTCGTCGGAGGGGGCCGCTCTGGAAGTACTTGCGGGGGGGGGACATGCTCAAGATCAGCCGCCTGAAGGACAGGCACCCCATGTTGCAGCTCTCCCAGAACTCGAAATCCGTGTGCCAGGTTGTCTTGCGCGGGATCACAGAGCCCGACGCGCTGACGGTTCTCATCTCGGTGGCGGACGGTTGGATCGCAGGACGGGGGGGAAGTGCTGCACTGACGTACGAAGGTGGAGGGTTGTCGGCCTTGCAGATGCATGATGGCGTGTCCGTCAATCGCTGCTAGACCAACTCAGCCTGAGCCATAAAAGCCAAAATGGCCACGAGTGTTGTAGGGGATGAGGAGGGGGAGAAGGAGGAGGAGGAGGAGGAGCGGAGGTTGGGCAGGCAAGTACAGCAAGGAGGACCTCTACACGGAGCGTGACAAGCTCCTGAAAGGCGGGGCAATGGGGGGAGGCCGTGCATGTTGCATGTCATCTGCAACGGCACGGGCGGGATGCGGGGGAGAAGCGCGGGCGCGAGAGATGGCGGAGTAGGAACGGAGCGCAGTGCAACGCATGTGCACCACGGCGGTGGAGGAGGGGGGGAAAGAAAGGGGCAGGCTACAAGAAGGACGATGACACAGACTGAGCTGGGCTACGACTCGAGTTGAGTTGGGCCATTGCGTACGTATCTTATTTGGGATGGTGCATATTACTATTCCAGTTCAGCTGCGAATTGTACGCTCTGTACCTGTGCTGCGCACGTTCGCTTGAAAGTGTTTCGCCAGTAGCGCAGTGCATGTGATGGGTTGACAGCCGCAACGTTGGTCGTACTCATCCGAACTCATCCGCCCCTCATCGGTCGAGATGAGTCGGGATGAGTTGCATGTGCTTGCATGTTGTGCGCGGTTGATGTGACATCGCAAAGCGCTGAACTAAGGACCACATTGAGCTCTCGAAGGGGCTCTGGTGTTCGTGCGTTTCCGTCGAGGGCATGTGCCAGATACGTGGCCGAAGCTCGCCGAGTCTGGACACACCTCTTAGTTCCTTATGTGCCACTCGGGATGGTAGCACGAGTCGAACTGCCCTGCGACAATTGAATAGCAATGATAAGTGGAGGACAGGGTTCGGGACGACTGATGATGAGAGGGACACGCAATGTGAAGGAGGAGGGGCTTGGGGGAGGGGAACGGTGGCGAGGAGGAGAGGGATGAGCGATGCACATCGCAGCTTGCATGGCAGCCTGCTACCCTCGAGCAGCGAAGGGTGGCAAGCCGCATCTTCCGTGGGGGGGCGGTTGCAATGGCGGCCAGCGATGACGGGATCCGTCGTTTCAGGGGTGCGTTCGGCAAGCTCGGCGCGACAGCTGAGGGTCTGACTGAAGTGCGTCCCGATGACTCGAAGTGGGACTCGCGCGATTTCAGCAGCGCCCCTGCATCAGACATCGCCCGCATGATTGCAGATGACACGTTTCAGATGTCGGCGACCTCTGGGGCGGCCTCATCGGGGCAAGCAGCGGTGGCAGCGGCGTCGGCGACATCACCTATTGATCTTGACTCGAGCTGTGATGACGAGCAGGGCGATGCCCCTGAGAAGGAAGAGAGCGCCAAGGAGGGGAGCGCGTGGGAGCAGACCGATGGGGGACCCGAGTATGATCCCGATGATCTTATGGGGTATGAATCATGGCATTGCGCATGGTGCGGGCACTACAACTCTGGCAAGTACTGCGAGTGCATGAACTGTGGGGAACGTTTTTTTTTCCCTTTCTTACAGGACGCTGAAATCATGACCGCTATATGGACTGTGGGTGGGGCTCGGATTGTCGGGTCGCTCCGTAGATTTGCGCAGCGTGGCATGTTTATGACGCGGGTCCACCGTGGCCAGAGACGCCCATTCGTTCCTTATAGTCAATGTTCTTGATCGTTCCTCGTGCCCCCCCTCCCCCACCCGAACCCTCCCCATCAGGATATCATATCATCTCCCCCCACCCCCTTCATGTGTGTGTGTGTGCCTCGCGTTGCGCGGCAACACAACCCTGCTTCTCCAGGCACCATGGGACGAGCATCCTCCCGACCGCTTGCCAGACACGTGGCCGCCGCAGCGGCAGCAGCATGGACAGCCCGCGCAGACCCTCTCAGACGACCAGCCCGCGCAGCCCCAACAACCCACGCAACCCCGTTCGGAGAGCCAGCCCGCGCAGCCCCAACAACCCCGCTCAGAGAACCAGCCCGCACAGCCGCAGCAGCCCGTGTTGGCCCGTGCAGATGACCAGCCCATGCAGCCTCAGCAGCCAGCCCCAACCCCGAATGCGGCGATCCCCACACAGAAAACATGGCTTGATGATGTGCCGCCCGAGCATAGGTCCGAAGTAGCAGATCTGTTGAAGAAGGCCGTGGATGTGGCGGTGAAGCAAAACTCAGACCCGTTGCATATGTATACTGACAAGCAGAAGGCCAGCCTAGCCCAGCTCAGCTCGAGGACGCCATCAGCACGGGGGTCCAAGCGCGGACGGGGGTCTACCAAAAGTTCTACAAGTGGCTCAGGGCCCAAACGACTGAGTTCCAGACGGTGAGACCGTCCAAAAGGGCAGGGTGGCGGGGGTGATCGGGAAAACGCCGAACGGCTGAGATAGTGGGGAGGTGGGGAGGGGAGGGGGGGAACACACAAAAAAACTCAGCCGTCAAGGCCTTCAACGCCAAGTCGCCAGATGGAAAGCGCGACTACCGCAAGCACTGGGCAGGCCTGAAGCT